TGTGTGTGTGTGTGTGTGCGTGCGTGTGTGGAGGGGTTGTTATCTCGGAGTTTGTACAGAGCAAATAATGAAGGACACTGTGAACTGACCCATCTGTAACTGTGTTGACGTCATCTCTTGACGGGGAGGAAGAGGAGGAGGAAAAGGAGGGGGAGGAGTATGAGGAGGAGGCGGAGGAAGAGAAGGAGGGTGGATTAGTAGAAGGGGGAAGAGAGGGGAGGGGGAGGAGTAGGAGAATGAAGAGGAGGAGGGGGGAGGGGAGGAGGAGAATGAAGAGGAGAAGGATGGGGAGAGGATGAGAAGGGGGAAGGAGGAGGAAGGGGCAAAGGAGGTGGAGGAGGAGGAGTAAGGGAGGTCGAGAGGAGGAGAAGGCGGAAGTCAGTATGTTGTAATATGGTGCATAATAATAGTTGACTTCCGCTTCAACCATAGACTTCAATTTTAACATCCTAGACTATCCACTGTCATGGCCACCAATCTTGTCTTTCCGCAAAAACTTCGCTGCAGCTTGTGAGCAGCATGGGTGCCCAGTGGCAAATCAAAGGTTAAGTCATCAATCTCACCGTAGTTGAGTGCGCGGGTAACAATTTCTTCCTTGTTCTTAATTTTGTTCCAAATAATAGAACATACCATTTGTAAAGAGCAAATTCCCTCGCAACAGCAAGCTCAATACGCTTTACCTGTGTGGCATTGGTGTGAAATCAGGCACTCGTCGAAATAATGAAATCGAAGAAAATGGCATTTTTCAGCCGGTTTGGTAATATTTTTTCTGAATTTTTTTTTTTACTCGACACCTCTAATCGCGATCGCTGTGCTTTCTTGACGTATCTCCATTTTTTAAAAGTGAAAATATGACATCTTCTTAAGCTCCCTCTTTGTTATGAACTGTTTTCACTGTTTTAAAAAAATGGAGATGCGGCATGAAAGCACTGGGGTGGCGTAAAGTCAATATATAAACAAATTCTGTCTGAATTTTAGTGAAAAACGTTGATTAAAGTTACAAAAACTTTAAATTTTGTTTTCCCTTGGACTCTCAAGCTATGGAAGTTACAAAACTTTAGTGGTCAATGTCATTTTATCGACAAATTTACCTCCCAAATCAGGTGATCCCCACCTTATTCAATCCGAACTATCTCTACAAAATAGATGGATTTATTTTTCATCGAATGCAAGACAAATGAATAAACTTTGAGATGATACTATTAACTCAACATACCCAAAAATTGACTCGCGCCCGATTCCCCATGCAAACCTAATGGTATTCTTAAACCTATCCGTACGCCCTGTGGTCATTTTGTTCCTCCCGGGGTTGCATTTTTCACATTTTAGAATACATCTAGTACGAAGATCTCTTTAAAACTTTCAGTATTTCTCCAAAAATCATTTTGACAGACTGCTATGCAAAGCATACGGATCGGATCATCGAGAAAATTTCCTCTTTGGAAAATGATGGCACAGAGTTCCCCACGTCGTATGGATAACACGACGTACGGATAGGTTACACTCTAAACTTCCTGGAAAGCGTGCAGTGCAAAACAAGGTTAAAATATCCGTCTCACGGTTGTCTAGTGCACAGTGCACGTGCAACAACTTCTTCCTTGTTATTCATTTGATTCCAAATACGTGTCGTCAGATAGTGAGCTCCGCGTTGAACTGGAATTACTGCAGGTTTGGAGCTCAGATTTGGATATTCAAATACCGGTACAAGTCATTGTTTTCATAACAGACTTGATTCTATCTGATCACTTTCTGGACGATCATTCTAGCACTCCGGCATGTATGAACATACAGCTTACTTGAGAAAAAATGGGGAAACCTCCTAAATACTTTACCGCACCAGACGCACTACATCGTTATTATCGCCTCTCAAACCACTTCAGGGTTTAATAAGAGAAATGTATGTCCTTCAATGCACCAGCATAAACATGCGTGGAAAGCAGTTGCAGGTACTTCGTCAAACCCAGAAGATGCTATTTCGGTTCTCGAGTGGGGAGGTTTTCTATCGAGTGGGCCTATCTACTTAATATCTCGTGTTTACCCCTCTCAGGTCAGGTTGGTCCTGGTGGCGTCGGTGGCCTAGTGGTTAGGCTACCGGACTTAAAATCGTGAGATAGCGGGTTCGGGGGTTCGAGCCTCAGCTCGATCCAACGTTGTGTCTCTGGGAAAGGTACTTTAAACGAATCTCTCGTTTGACTGGGTCCTTTCGGAGACGGGCGTTAAACTCGGAGGACTCGACTCTTGATATTACCATTTCACCTTGTCATTATTTAACCAGATTTGTCTTAAACAGACAAAGTCGATGTAGGTCGCCTCCTCCTAAAGGATCTAAATCGTGTAGAAAATGGCGTAAAATGTCCTGAATTACGTTACTCCATATAACAGTAAACCTACGATTTCCTCGACCCAACTTTCCTCTCTTTCCTTAATCTACCTCGAGTGTGCCTGAGCGGGCACAGCAGATTAACAATGAGAAGATTTACAACACTTAGTCCGAGGACTCAGCTACCCTTCCGTCTCCCTCCTAGATTACACATTTTGAGAAACGAGCAGTATAACTCATTGCCTCGGCCGCTTGGCATTCTTGTTCAAATAACGGTGGTATCGTGTTCTTGGGCGCAGCTGTAGCGGTCAGTAGAAACTTACTGGACACTCGCAAGACCACGGCGGTCGTTGTGTAAGAGGAAGAGGCAGAGACTCCAGCAACAGTTGAGTCTCGGTTTGTTGTGGTCACAGAGTCACATTTTGGGACCTCTCTGTCTGTCCGCCCGACTGTCTGTCTGTTTTTCTACCTGCCCCTCGCTCTCTCTCTCTCTCTCTCTCTCTCACCC